TCGTCGTCGAAGCAGCATCGTCCTGGGTCCGCTCCGTCGCCTTCACTGCGCATCTCCTCCCGCCGGCCCCGCCATGGTCTCGGCTCTGCGCTGCCCGCCGGGCGTCTGGGGGCTCCTGGCGCTGCTGCTGCTGCTGCCCCTGCCTGGGGCTCGCGGTGAGTGGGGCTTGGTGGAGGGGGCCACAGGCGGCCCCTGCCCGGGCACAGAATCCCCTCGGTTCTCTTCCGCCTGCCCCTCCATCGGTGCCGGGCGGGGAGCGGAGCCCAGAGTCCCCGCCCGGCACCTGGGGCGGGCTCCGCATCTCAGCCTGGGAGGTTAAACTCTGCCCCGTTGGTGAGTGTTAATGCCCAGAGCCTGTTGCTGGGGGTGTCTCCTGTCCGTGGTTGGGGCGGGGGAAAGCCACTTCGAACAGCAGGTAAAGGTGCAGCTGTTGTAGCTGTACCAGTGTCAGTAAAACGAAGTTTGGGGTATAAAACGCCTAAAGATTATAAAATGAGCAAGTTCCCCTGTTGTAGTCTTAGGTTTGTGACTGTACAGAAATAGATATAAAACTTTATTAAAGCAAATGTTAAAATGATCTAATACACAGGGTAAGAAAAACGTGTCTGTACATCTGGGTATATCGCTTAAATTACCCCAAATTACAAAATTTGGTTTGAAAGTCATAAGGTCCATATAGTACATAATCTGCAGTATCCCAAATTAAGGTTAATAAATTCAGTGATACGATTAAGGTATTAGCATCCAATTCTTTGGGTACATTGCCCATAAAAGGTTATACTAAGAGTAGCTTGTGGAAAGCAAATATGGTAAGGAGTAAAGATTGTCCCTCAGTAATTGAGAATTTAGGATTGGTTGCCCCTTAGACAATACAATAGAGAACATCAGGAAGAATTTCAGTTACTTTCCTGACTTTGCTTCTCATTGGCACTTGTCCTCATGCCTGTCATACAGTTTCCATGCATCTCATGAGAAATATGAAAGTCCGCTGTCTCAGAGAGAGCTTTCCACCAGCTGTTTTCACTTGTTTCTAACCCCATACATGTTTCATGTACTCTTGGTCTCTTTTGTCCTGTACGTCACCTTCTTTCATGTCACTCTGTATGGTTGCAACAGTCTCGCTGAGCCTGTCCTGCGTTAGCTCATAAGCTCTGTGAGGTGGAGGAATGTCCTGTTTTGCACAATGTACTTACCTTACGTTACCTTATATGCTCAGGATGATGTATACATGGTAAATAATGTAAAATTTGAATGTACTGCAGTTTTGTATCAAGGCCATTCAGTAAACTAGCTTCAAGGCTCTAATGAAAACAAGTACATCCAAATTGTCCCCAATAAAATCACTTGTGGCTTCTCAAAAACAAGTGTTCTGTTACAACAAACTACTGAATGTCTTTCGTAGTTAACTTTTTCCCTTCCTTGTCTGTCTCTATTGCTAGGCAATTGTGATTCTCCTCCACGGTTGAGTTTTGCTCAGCAGCCTGAGGCAGTGAACAATTCCTATGCTGTTGGGACCAAACTGAAATACTCCTGTCGCCCAGGGTACATGTTGGGCTCTGGAAAGTCTCCTTATGTTACATGTCTTGCAAATTCAACATGGTCAGTAGACCCTGAGTTTTGTGTAGGTGAGTATCTTTGTTGCTTTTCCATTTCAATTGATGTGCAAGACATCTTAACACAGTTAGGAATCTCTTTTCTATTGGGTATCTCTCTTCTGTTGGCATATGAAAAGAAGGCAACTCCCATCTTTTCATATGCTGTGTATTTATACCTCTGCTGTATTTTTCACTCCATGCATCTGATGAAGTCAGTTTTAGCCAATGAAAGCTTATGTCCAAATAAATTTGTTAGTCTCTAAGGTGCCACAAGGACTCCTAGTTGTTTTTGCTGATACAGACTAACATGGCTACCATTCTGAATCCTGTTAGAATAAAGAAAAACACGTTGGTGTGGCAAGTGTCTGTCTTTTTTGAAAAATTGTAGTTGCTGTATCCCTGATAATGAAATATACTGAATTCACTGTACTAAAAGTAAACCCATTACTGAATAATGTGTGTTACAAACTTGGACAAAATACTAATTAATAACAAAACTTAGAGAATACTTCTCTTGGCTTCATTGCTAAGAGTACAATAAGATATTTGCAAGTTTCCTCATCTCAAGACTATATATGCTATATTCCATGCAGAAGTCCCTAGTAAATGCAGTACTACAGTATGTTTTAAATTATGATTTAATTTGTTGTATTGAATACTGATGGGACTTTCTTGAATAGCCTTAGACTCACCTACCCTGGCCTGCTGGCTTGAGAAAATACTTTATGTATAGGCTCTGATTCAGCAAAGCACTTAGTGCCTTCTTAAGTCCCAGTGACTTCAGTGGGACTTGTTTTGCTGAATTGATCAGGCTTTAGTAAATAGGTCACAATTGTTACATGCCTTGTCTGCTTTGATATTTTTTCTCAGTACAGTCATAAAAAGTCCTAACTTTACTTTACATGGATACAGTCTGTCTATATTGAACTCCATATAGATATGGTGAATTTTTGACACAGTTCATTCTTCGTGGGAATAAGTCTACTGTGGGAGAAAGCATCACAAATAACTCTTGTAGGGGGCAAAGAAAAGCTCTTCCACTGAGCTTGACTGAGGAAC